ATTGCTGTATTCATTAGAAATGCATATATTTTAAATAAGTTAAAACGCTTAACTTATAGTGGCTTAAACAAATAGGGTTTTATTTCTGTTACATAACAAGAAGTCCAGAAGAAGGTAGTTGCTGGCACAACTCACTTACCTAGAAGGTTTGTCAGGCACACTAGCTGTCTTTATATTTCTGCTCTGCCATTCTTAACATAATAGTATTTATCCTCATACTCATCATCACTTAATGGTCATAAGATGGCTACCAGAGCTCCAGATATCACATGCATGTTCAAGACAGGAAATGGGAAAAGGTGGAACTAAACTCATCTGTCCCATTTTATCAGGAAAGTAAAAGTTTCCCTAGGGACCCCCCCAGAAAATATGCTTATTTCTCTCTGGCTACAACTATATTGCATGGCCAACTCCAGTACAAGTAAGGCTGAAAAAGAATTTAGTTAGGTACGCTGTCAGTATGAACAAAACCAACATTTTGTAATGTTGGGAGAAAGAAGGGGAGAATAGATATATATTGGGCTGGCAGTCAAAAGTATCTGCCACAGAAGTATTTCCCCTTTCTCTCAGAAATCACACAAAAATGAGAAAAATAAGAAACACTTATGCAAACTTGATCTCCAACAAGACTAAGATATATCCATAACCCTGAGCCACATGAAAGACTATCAGATATGATCAGGGTATAACCCCAAACATTACCCAGGGAACTGACTTAACACCCGGTCCTACCAGTATCTGCATTTTTCAACAAAGCTAGAAGAGAAAATTCTAAAAGAAAGGCACATATTAAGGGAAAATATATATACATATGTGTGTATGTATATATAGTTTATTTGAAACAAAGGAAAAAAGGTGCGTTGATTAGAAGAGGGAATCTGCCTGTATAGGAATTTGTGCTATAATGTACAATATGAATGTATTAAAAAATATGCTTCCTGCAAAACTGCACAAAAACTAACAGGATTTATGGAGAAAATAAGGTGAAAGGGTAAACTATTTAAAACCTACAGAACTTTGTCACCAGAGCACTAATAAAACTGTAACAATTCTAGTAAAGATACAAGTATAGTCAAAAAGACATTCAATAAGTAAATATTGTTAAGTATAGGATTTTACCTTAGAAAGGTGATGGTATCTTGTTAGAAAGATGTGTAAGAAAGGGTGATGCAAGGGTAGAAGAACATCATCATGAGAGGTTCAAGTGAAGAAGCACTTGCACACTTTCCAAGAAATATAGTGATACTACCAGAAACATGAGATGGTCTGCCACTGGCTCATCAGCTTGTTTTTATTTCTTTGACACTGGCTTATAAAAACATATCCAGTTTTTGCTGTTTGAACATTTTCCTTCATTCATAAAGAAGCTGTTTATATGGCTCCAAATAAGACCTTATGCCAAGAAATGCAGTCCTGCTGTGTTCTGCATTGTAGTCATTATTTTCTATCCACTGCCACTGCTTCTCTATAATACTTAAAGCAGATAACTGAGCAATGAAAAACTCTTGTAAGGCAGCTTATTTAACTGCATCATCTTCCTCTACACCTTCCATTTGTGCCTCAGCAACTAACTGTTGCAGCTCTTGTGTAGAAAGATCCTCTGTGTGAAACTGCAGCAGCTCTTCAATATCCTCACTCTCAATTTCTTTAAACCTAACCTCCTTTGGAAGAACAACACAGCTTACTTTGATTTTGGGGAGCTCTTTGGAAGGCTCAAGGCCTTTGGAATCATGAAATGAATCAGGGAGAATTTTGTGCCACACCCCATACAAGTAGGCTTTTGTGACATTCTTCAGCACCCCTATAATCATGTCAACAAGTTTAATGCTGAATGGATTCCAGAATTCAAAAACTGGGCATTGTTACTCCCTGTAGGTGCAATCAAAATGTTGAATGTTCACCTTAAATAATAATCTCTAAAGACTGAAATCACACCCTGATCAAGGAGCTAAAGAAGTTGTATTAGGAGGTAAAAAGAGAATTTTGATATTTGAAGAAAGCTCAGTGATTGTTGGGAGGGTGGCTTTGAGTATTCCTGAGGATTATAAGAATTTTAAAAGACAATTTTTTTCTCTTGCAATGTTTTTTATGACATCTACAAAAACATCATCTAAAAGATCAGTAAATATCTGTACTGTCATCCAGGCCTCTCTTCAGACCTATAGGAGACATTGTGGCTAGTCTTTACAATTCCTTTTAAAGCTCACTGATTGGCAGAGTAATACAACAGGCTTTAACTTTTAATCTCCACTGGCATTTGCACCTAGCATCATAGTCAGTTGATGCTTTGTAGCTTTAAATCCTGTATCTAGTGTTCTCTCCTTAAATGTACAGGCCAGGGGTCCTCAAACTTTTTAAACAGGGGGCCAGTTCACTGTCCCTCAGACCATTGGAGAGTGCCCACTGTGCACCTGGGATGAGTCAGCGGCTAAGCAGGACAGGCAGCAGCGGCAAAAACACCAGGAGGGCCAGATAAATGTGCTAGGCAGCCCGCATGTGGCCCGTAGGCCATAGTTTGAGGACACCTGGTATAGACCCTTGAGGGCATTTGCTTCTAACAGAGACTGGTTTCATCAAAAGTGAAAATCTGGGCCGGGCCCAGTGGCTCACGCCTGTAATCCTAGCTCTCTGGGAGGCCGAGGCGGGCGGATTGCTCCAGGTCAGGAGTTCGAAACCAGCCTGAGCAAGAGCGAGACCCCGTCTCTACTATAAATAGAAAGAAAATATTGGCCAACTATATATACAAAAAATTAGCCGGCATGTGGCGAATGCCTGTAGTCCCAGCTACTTGGGAGGCTGAGGCAGGAGGATCCCTTGAGCCCAGGAGTTTGAGGTTGCTGTGAGCTAGGCTGACACCATGGCACTCACTCTAGCCTGGGCAACAAAGCGAGACTCTGTCTCAAAAGAAAAAAAAAAAAAAAAAGTGAAAATCTGATCCAGCCTTCTTCATCAATCAAATTTCTTAACACTGACTTAACTGAAATGTCTGCAGCTTCTTCATCTGCACATGTAGCTTCACCAGACAGCTTAATACTGTGGAAAGCATAACGGTTCTTGAAGAAACGAAACCAGCTACTATTTGCACTAAATAAAGGCATCCCTGCAGAATTATCAGCATTTTCCTTAAGGTCTCCATATATTGCTAAGGCCTTCTCTTTATTTTTTATTTTTTTTTTTTTTTTTTGAGACAGAGTCTCACTTTGTTGTCCAGGCTAGAGTGAGTGCCATGGCGTCAGCTAGCTCACAGCAACCTCAAACTCTGGGCTTGAGTGATCCTTTGCCTCAGCCTCCCGAGTAGCTGGGGACTACAGCATGCGGCCACATGCCGGGTAATTTTTTATATATATATCAGTTGGCCAATTAATTTCTTTCTATTTATAGTAGAGACGGGGTCTCGCTCTTGCTCAGGCTGGTTTCGAACTCCTGACCCTGAGCAATCCGCCCGCCTCGGCCTCCCAAGAGCTAGGATTACAGGCGTGAGCCACCGCGCCCGGCCAGGCCTTCTCTTTAATTTTGAGAAAGGTTGCACCTAATTGTTTCTTTGTTTGGTATTCAACCCACATATTTAACAAATGTTCCATTTCTTTGTGCCTTGTTCTAACAGATTTTTGTAGCAGCGGCAGTTGTTCCAGCTACATAACTTTCTTTTATTTTCCCAGCCTCGCTCTAATCGTACACAACATTGACTCCTTTATGCTGGTTGCCCAACCAATGTCACAGTTTCTTCCATTTTTTTCGAAACACTTTATGATTTTGAGCTTTTCTTCAATTGTTAAAGCTTTTCTTCTTTTGCACTCACTAGCAGAATTTTATCACCAGCACGCTTCTGTGGCACTTGCAAACCCCTTTCTTGCTCATTTTCTGGAATACAAAAAGGTTTAGCAAAAAATGCACAAAGATGGGAGGGAACCATGCAAATAAGCACATCCAAGACGGAGACTGTGGCCAAAAAAGACAGAGGAAGGATGTGGCAGCAAATGGGCATTATGTACAGTATTGCATATCGTCATGACTTCTGGCATTCAGCAGTAATCAGATACTTTGAATTCAGTGGCTTCTACTTGGTGGCCCAACACATTAACTTCCTGGGAAAACTCATACATAAATGAGCCAGCAGAATTTCAGCATTATACTGACCAATTTCCAGCATACTGATCTCATATTAAAAGATTTTGCATTCCAGAAATACATATTTAACAGATCAGACTGTGTACATAAAGTATTCATTTTCAAAAAAGTTCAGATAAATGTATGGATAGTATCACTACAGAAATGGAAAAGTATTTGGCAATATCCATAATGTTCTAAAATTACTGTCATAGAAAGTAAATATACTCTCTTCTTCTGAAAAGAATATTGGGCACAAAACACTTTACATATTAACAACTCTAGGTACTGAAAAGAACCAAGGAAATCATGCAATCAATCCTTTCATTGTACAGATAAAGACATTAAAGCACTAGAGGTGTGATATGCCCAAGGTTACATAGCTAATAAGTGTAACAAAACCTATCATAAACCCAGCCAGATCTTATGATTCAGTGTTTCCTGATAATTCTACTAAATTAGGCCACTTCTCTATTTGTCTCTCCTAGAGGGTATTCCATATTTTCTTACACTAATTTATTTTCATATATGGTAAAAGTAGGGGGCATCATAAGAAGAGATATCTATACAAGACATTAGTAATTTGTTGTACATTTTTATCTATTACTGCATATTTCTTTAATCTCATAGTCGCTAAATAAAACATATTCTCTACTGGTAAGGAATAGATCAAGGTTTTCTATTTGTTTAAATTCTTTACTTATTTGGATCATCTATCACACAGAGATTGTTATCTCATAAGCATGAATCTATTCATCTACACCAGTGATCAAATAAGAAATAATGGCCCAAACCAGAATTTGCAGCCACCAGAGTGAAACTACTCCCACTTACTCCATTCTGGACCCATGCACCCAAGTTCTCCACAGATGATGGCACCGCCAGTTTCTCACCTGCAGTCTAGGTTCATCAAGCTCCTTCTCCAAATCTTCCAGCACAGTTACTGCCTCCTCCCCACTCTCAGGATTACGTTCCCGCACCCAAGCCTGGAGCTCCTCAGGCAAGATAGTCAGGAACTGTTCCAGCACCAACAATTCCAGGATCTGCTCCTTGGTATGTATCTCTGGACTCAGCCACTGACAGCAAAGTTCCCGCAGTTGACTCAGAGCCTCCCTGGGCCCAGGTGTCTCTTGATAGCAAAACTGTCTGAAGCGCTGACGAGAGATTTCCCTGGTATGAGACAAATTCCTACGTAGGCAGGATTCCTGATCCCAAAAATGGTCTTCTTCTTTAACCTTTACTTTGATAATCTCTTCTTGTTCTTCTGAAACCTGACCAGCCAAGGCTGGAAGCGCCCTAGAGGCTGCCTCCATCCCGAGCTTAGATAGCTCAGGGAAAAGATCTCTTTAGTTGGGATTTAAGCAGATGGGTGATTCTATTTGAGCTTTTTTTTTTTTCCTTCCTAGGTCAGGAAAGTTTTTGATATAAGGAAACACTTTTAACAAAGGATAACTACAGGTACACTTGAAAAGGACTTGTTTACAGGACAACACAGGGCAGTTACTCCAGCAATTCCACCGAAAGTGAAGCCATCCTCTGACAAGATCAGGAATAGCGAGCACAGAACTATTCACTAAAACTGCAGGGCCGCAAACTGAGCTGCAGGATACTTGCAAGACAGAAAAATGAGGGTATCAAGGACACGTTGGCCCTTAATAAAGCCTGAGTATACATACGAGCTCAGGCAAGGAAACCAGAAAGGAAGAGTCGCCCCTAAGACCGGAGCTCCCAGCAGCCTGGGCGGGGACGGACAGGGGCTCCTCGCACACCACGAGCTGCCTGAGGAGGAGGCCTGATTGTTGCTGCGTACACGCACCCCTCCCTCGGCCGCAACGTCCACCTCTCAGGAGCTCAGACCCTCTCGAATCTGGACTAGTAAACTGAGAGAAATACTCCCCGGCTGAGGCGGAGGCAGCAGCTCCACAACACACCAGCCGTTGGACCGACAGGTTCCGGCCGTGAGCGGCGCTCACTTCCGGTCCGCTCTAGGATTCCAGGTGGTGCAGCATTCTCAGTGGTTGTGCTAGGACGTACAGTACCGGTAATCTTGGGTAGACGAGGACCCAACAAACTACAGAGAATTAAATCCGAAGTTACCAAATTATCTGTCATTCGGTGAAAAGAGTTTCACTGTGTGAATAGTGCTCGTGTGGAGGCTACTGCTCTGTTTTCCCGTCACCGTGATAAACCCCTGCTTGGCACTCAGACCCGCGGTACTCACCTCTGCAACCTGAAACAAAACGTAAAAGAGCATCCGTTTGGCGACTACCTAATCAGCGATTCTGATTACTTTCTCGTTAATTTCAGCCACTCCTTTCCCAGTCACCGTAAGTCAGACTTGAAAAGAACTGTGAGATCTAGTCCATTCTTTCCATTTTACAGATGGGAAAGCCAAGACGCATAGAGAGTGAGCTTCCCCCTAATGTGCAGCAGTAGCCAGTTCTGCTACTTGACTCTGAGCCTTAACTAAACAATTGTGGTAAACTGGTCCCAGAAAACTAACAAAATCTGCACGGGTTTTCAGAGCTTAGCGAATCATTAGAGTGGAGTAACCAGAAAGTTCCTACCTGGCTACCTGGCTCATTCTCCTTCAAGCAGCAACCAAATTCCGCCAGAGATCTGGAAGCAAATCCTCCCACGTGCCAGCCTCGGATTCCTAACCACTCCTCACCCCAGCCTGCCCCAGGTCCGTAAGAGCGCTGAATAAATAAGAGATTCTCAAGGAATATTTGTTGAATTGCTGAATGGCTTCGCTTCCCCATCTTCTCATTCTGCTTTGGTCCCTATATTGGTTACTCACATTTTGGCATTTCTGACTCAAGAGGCTTTCAATAATCATAACCTTTCTTTCGTAAATCCCTAAATAAAAAAATATTACCCTTGGAGCCCGTGGTCTTGAGCGAATCGCTAAACCCAATGAAATTGTATATAAAATTTTTGTTTAGGCCGGGCGTGGTGGCTCAAGCCTGTAATCCTACCACTCTGGGAGGCCGAGGCGGGCGGATTGCTCGAAGTCAGGAGTTCGAAACCAGACTGAGCAAGACCCCATCTCTACTAAAAAAAAAATAGAAAGAAATTAATTGACCAACTAAAAATATATATATACAAAAAATTAGCCGGGCATGGTGGTGCATGCCTGTAGTCCCAGCTACTCGGGAGGCTGAAGCAGGAGGATCACTTGAGCCAGGAGATTGAGGTTGCTGTGAGCTAGGCTGACGCCACTGCACTCACTCTAGCCTGGGCAACAAAGTGAGACTCTGTCTCAAAAAATAAATTAATTAAAAAAAAAAAATTTGTTTGTATGCCCGTGTCATCAGATCCTCAAAGGGCCTAGATGGAACCTCCCCATTAATTTTCTTAGTCACTACTGATGTGCTGCCCTTATATTCTGTGTTTCCCTCCTAAATAGCTGTTGGTCCTTTGCAGTCAGGGATTCCACCCACTATTTCTCACATTCTGCAACGATCATGCCCGTGCTGAGCACAGTAGGCAGTCAACATGGGGTAAGCATGACCTCTTCGTCCTTTACTGAGGATTTTTTATAGATTTGAATTTTTAATTACTGAGGTGATATGTTTAAAAAAGTCAAGTATTACAAAAGTAAACACAACAAAAATTGAACATTGCCTTGATCCCCAATTTCATTTCTCAGAAAAATTCATGCCAAGAATTTGGTGTATATCCTTCCAACCTATTTAAAAATGTCTTTTGTATTTGGTCCCATGGTGTAATGGTTATATAAACTCACAAAGTATAACTTATTATAACTTACAAAAATCAAATCATGCTAGACATTACAATTCAGCAAGTTGCTGGATTTTGGTCAAGCCAACATGTGGATACAGACATCTATCACATTCTTTTTAGTGACTGTATATTATTTCAATTAAATACACTGGCATATTTTCAAATTTCTAACATATTTTCAAATTTCTAACATTCTAAAATATTATAATGAACATTCTTAGACAAATATTTTGATTTTTTAATATTTCTGTAGGAGGCTTTTAAGAAAAAAAATTGCTGCACTAGAGATTAATTTCATAGATGTTGCCTAAAGATCTCTACCCTAGAGGGATGTTTATCAAGAGTTTCACTAATCATATGCAGCGCTTTCCAAGGCCTTGGGAAGGGATCGCTCTGTATGAAACATTTGTTAGGTTTGTTCCAGGTGGGAACCCAAAAAGTATATATAGGACAGAATGGGGTTAATGCAAAACTTAGGCTTGTAAAACAATAGCTGCAGGAATCTGGAGAGTCCCCAGACTTTGTAAATATAACAGCTGCAGCCAGCATTCCTTCCCCCTCCTTCCCTGAGAGACAAAGTTTATCCCTCCCTAGCTTTCCTGATAGGAATGACGCCAGAGCTGAAGGATGGATGTGACTGGGGCAGGGGTCATAGGAGTTGGTTATTTGAGAAAGAATTTATTACAGGCAGCTGTTCTAACCCAGTTACTTACTCCCACCCCAAGCCCCTGGGAAAAAAACTCTCTATAAAACCCAAGGCTCTCCCCTTTTCTCTCGTGGACGCTTTTTCGTCTCTGCCCACTGCACCCAGATGCTCAAAATAAATAGCATTTTGCTATACATGAGGCTTTCTCTCTCTCTCTGTCTCTCTCTCTCCTGCAAACCCAACACATATGTCTTTGTATAATTTGCAAAAATGTCCTATTACAATGGAAATTATTTAACCCAACTGCCTCTCTTTACTCCACATTATCCTCAGATATAAGATATAGGCCTTAGAGTGGCCATATCTAGATAATTTTGTGTTGATTATGTCTATTCTTTTTCCTAAAGAGGTCCTCCTAAATTGTGTAAGCTTTACACCTAACAAAATCAGGGTCCACTGGTAAACTAATTTATGTCCCCAACAGAAGCACAAGAAAGAGTGCCCGATCTGATCTCCCTGAATTATGTCTTGCTCTTGGTCCCTTTTGCAGTAACAAAGCGTCAGTTTTCCTGATCCGCGCAGTCTTGCTGAAACCTGACCTAACTCTTCCGGGTCGAAGGTACAACAAGATTTATTATCCAGGATATATTTAACCACAGCTATGGATATATATTTCCTTTCCATGGTTGGTCCCATGGTGTAATGGTTAGCACTCTGGACTTTGAATCCAGCAATCCGAGTTCGAATCTCGGTGGGACCTTGCAAATCAGTACCTTTTACAGTTCCTGGATTGTCGTCTGAACATGGAAAAACGCCTTTCTCTGCTTACTAGCGAATTCCTTTCTAGGAACACCTTTGTAGCTGTAGAACCTACCACTTTCGCCTAGCTTTCAAAGAGCCCCAAGTTCATGGGCTTGGACACAAAGAAAAAGACACTGCTTCTACTGCAGTACCTCAGGAACTTCTCAGGGCCGGGATGGAAACCCAATTAATGGGATGGAAACAAACACCTCCTCAAAATTTCCTAGGTTCGAAGCCCTTTTCGCCGTCCTGCCGGCTTCTAACTGAACCTGGCGCGCAGAGTTGCGGGGCCTGGGTCCTGGGCGTGCTTGTTTTTTGCTGTGGATCTTATGTCCCAAGTCACTTCTCACCCCTTTTTCCCTTCCCCATCTCGCTGAGACAATTCACCCCGTCTGCGTTCTCTCATTCTCACCACTCCCCTCAGCTGCAACGCCGGTCTGCAAACTCCTCCGCAGCCTGCCGCCGCGGAGAGCGCGGGTCCCTGGCGTCCAAGCGCCCGGCCCCGGGGTGGGCGAGGAAAACTCACTTCCCCACCGCAGCCTGGTCTAGCCGCCCCCGGCGCGGGCTCTCAGTCCCAGTTCAAGACTACACGCGGTGAAGGGGCCCGGGGAGGAACCCTGCAACTTCTGTGCGGGAGGGGGTCGCTGGCGGTAGGACGCCCTCTGCCTTCAGCCGCTCGCGCCGCGTTTCGTCTCCTCAGCGCGTCGTATGCCAGGGCGATTCCGGCCACTCTGCGTCCTCCCCAGAAACTGCCAACCCCCCGCGTAGGGAGCACGGGGAAAGTTCTCCGAGAGGAGTCTCAGGGACTGGAAACGTCTCTCCAACCCCACCTGCTCCTCCGCCAACCCCAACTCTCAGTGTAGACCAGGAACCAATTGAAGATAGAGCTGATCAACCCCGGAAGGGCTGGGGAGTTCCGGATGGACACTCATTTAGCTCAGAATGAAGGCAGTAGTGTGGACAAGGAGGAGGAAATATTTTTCCCGGAGGACGGGGACTAAATTAGGAAGAAACAAGTATCCGGGTTTTGTACAAATTAATCTCTTCTAGATCGTATGAGACAACCTTTAAACATAGTGATTTATTTTCAGATTTCTTCTTACTTTGACATTTTGATTTTCTCATACGTAACAAAAAAGTAAGTCGAGTCCTACTCTTCGCCAAGTCCAGTAACCCATTTAACCGTAAATATTTCATTAGCTCATATTATGAATTACCAATGTCGCACAGAGACTCTGTAACGAATTGCGTTTACAGAGCTTATGAAAACATTCTTTTGGCTCCCACTATGAGCGCCTGGTTGTATATCCATATGGTCTGTGATTATGCTAATTGCAGAGGGAAATAACATTTTCTTCTTGTGGTGTTGCCTCAGCAGGTGTGGTCCTGACTTTTTTCCATCTTGTTGATGTTAGTGTCATGAGCTCGCATCCAAAATATTATCCCTTTTCTGAATGGGCCGAGAGCCTCTCCTGCCTATGTGGGGTACTTATAATTCTAATCATTCTTCCAGCCACCACCATATTGAGCCTGTGGTTCTCTCATGGATCCCCAACACTGATATGCTAGCCCTAACAAAGGTGACTTTTCAAATAGACCCTAGAATCCCAACCACCCTCCTGGAACTTTATGAAATGAGAGTAACAGAAGGGAGGGTGAGTTGTTCTCAAATAGTGAAAGAAGGCCAGGTGCGGTGGCTCACACCTGTAATCCTAGCACTCTGGCAGGCCAAGGTGGGTGGATTGCTTGAGGTCAGGAGTTTGAAACCAGCCTGAGCAAGAGAGAGACCCCTGTCTCTACTATACTTAGAAATTAATTGTCCAACTAATATATATAGAAAAAATTAGCCGGGCATGGTGGTGCATGCCTGTAGTCCCAGCTACTCGGGAGGCTGAGGCAGCAGAATCGTTTAAGCCCAGGAGTTTGAGGTTGCTGTGAGCTAGGCTGACGCCTCGGCACTCATTCTAGCCTGGGCAACAAAGTGAGGCTCTGTCTCAAAAAAAAAAAAAAAATAGCAAAAGAAAATTTAATGCTGAAATCACTATGATCACATTCATGATCAAGCATCCAGTTATTTGTAGCTCAAACCCAGTAATTCAGACTCTATTCCAAGCCTCCAAATTAACATAATGGAAAAGGCCAGACTGGAGATGGTGCCCACACCCAATGGACCTAGTACTGAAAAGAAGGCAAAGGGGCAGTTGCCATGGGGTGGCTGAACCAAACACAGCCACTGGGATAAGCTAGGAGTGCATGGAGATGCTTCCCCTGGTGCCTTACATGTTCTATGCGTCTCCTATTCCTTTAGGAAGCTGAGGGAATCCCTGTGAGTGTTTACAAGGAGTCAACTTAATTAAACTTGAGTTAGGCTTCTCTGAGCCCTCTTCTTGATTAGGTCCCATGCTTGGCCTATCTAGCGTAGTTTTATCAAAGAATCCAGTTGAGCCCAGTTTTACCAAGAATTCTACTAAGCCAATTTGTTGAGAATTCCCGACACCCTCAATATCTAATCAAATTCTTTTTAGTAATTTTCCATCCAATGACTCCCTTACTCTATTCACTAAAAACCTCCAGCTATCTCCCTTATACTTGGATTTGAGTTTACTTTCTCTCCCCTATTGCAATAGTCTTGAATAAAGTCTTCCTTGCTTGTTTAATTCCATTTCATACAACTTTTCTTTGACAGTTCCCCCAAAGAACTT